TTTCATACTGATACCTCTAATTCCAACACCACAGGGCTCATTTTAGTTTCTCCTTTTCCTTATTGTATCTCTGTTCTCTAAGAGTGGGAAAACTGCCCACTTTAATATAGTGACTCACATTAGTGCCCTGTATATCACTAGTCTCCCTTCACTGCTGCTGCCTGCTCCTCCCCGTGACTGCCCTCCGCACCCCTCTCAGTCTTTCGAACCTCCCAGGTGGATGCCCTTGTTATCACTCTTGGGCACCAACATGCCATGTCAGGCCTCTGTGTATGGATGCCCTTCTCACTTGATTTTCACTCCATGCACGGGATTGCCCCCCACCACCGATTTTATGTAATACTGTAATGGGTTGGGACATGTGAACAATTCTCTTCTTCTAATAATATAACTGTAGCATTGAGTATTTTGCTATAACTTTGTGGTAATGGATTTGCTCAGTTTTAGTAACTGGATTGTTCAGAAACAAAAGAGTAATATGAGAGTTTCAAAGAAACATGACATACAGTAGAACTGGCCCTGATGTGCTTCTGTACTGGCCAGGCAAGCTTTTCTGAGATTGAAGTCCTTTTTATATCTTTTAACTATCCCTGCATTACACAAAGAAAGGAAAGTGTCAATGGACTTCAAAATGGATTTTTTCTATTTTTTATTTAGGAATGGAGTTATTTTATGACTTATTAGTCTAGTTAATTCATCCCTGTTTTAAATATGAGAAAATGGGTCTATTAATGACCTTAGGTTATTTAATTAGTTATAGATAGTATAAACTATAGACCCTTACATTAGGAAAATAGTGAACATTAGCTTCATTTAATATAAACTACTACTCAAAACATAAATCCATTTTGAATCTCTAACAGTGACTACATGACAAATGGGACAATCAACCACACAGGACAATTCTAGGGGGTTTCAGTGATATTGCCAAAAGACCATTTTTAAGAAGAGAACTTTGCATTCTCTGTGAATTTTGAGACTTGAGTTTCTTAGTGAGATTTCTGTAAGCAGATGATAGTAGCATATTATAGGACTTTGGAGAATGACAATAGATAAGGAAAGCAACTTAAAAGTGTTAAGAAAGAGGAGAGCAAAATGAAGAGGAAAAGAAAGGGAGAGAAAGCAAAGAGCAAGAGAAAAAGAAAGAGGTGGGAAAAGAAAAGAAAAGGAAAAAAATAAGGCAAAGTAAATAGCAAAAGGAGGGGGCAGAGAGATGGGAGATCGGGAGAATAAAGTGCAGAATACATGCAGAGACAAAAATATACCGGGTGGAGGAAGAGAGGAAAAGTGGGTGGAGAGGCGGAAGAGAGGAAGGGCTGAGCAGGAGGCAGAGGGTCAGGGAGCAGGGGAGACCAAAGAATAGAAGGGGCGAGAGGAGAAGGAACAGAGGTTTGAGAAATGGTAGAAAGGAAGAAGTGTGAGAAAGAGGGGACCTAGAAGGTGGGGAAAGGGGAGAAACAGAGGAAAAAAGAAACAGAAAGAGCCGGATGCACAGACACACTGGGAAAGGGGAGGTGTATGGAAGGAGAAGACTGCAGGGTCAGCAGAGAAGACAGACAGGCAAGGAGCAGCAGAGAGAGAGAGGGTTAGAAAAGGAGGGGAAGGGACGACAGGAGGGGTGGGGACAAGGCAGGGGACAAAAGGTAGCTATGCACAGAGATGGGAACACGTGGTGGACAATCAGAAAAACTGGGGAGAAAGAGAGATGGGCTGTGAAACAGAGGGAGGGTTGAAAAGGTGGAGCAGAACAGATACAGGAGGAAAAATAAAGAGAAGGCAAGAAAGATCTAGAGAACAGGGACAGTGGCGATAACTGGGAGAGGTGTGGAAACAGAGAGAGGGGAGTACAGAGCAGTGAGGCAGGAGAAGAAAACAATGTGGGAGAATAAGCATATTTTTTGATGGTGTTTGTGCTCTCGTGTGTTTGTTTCTTTCTATTACGTGCAACTCCCTAACTTACAGAATGATGAAAAGATGAATGAAGTCATGAATCTAGCTCATACATTCCTGCAAAATTTCTGTCGAGGAAATCCACAGAATCAAGTTCTTCTTCATAAACATCTGAATTTGTTTTTAACTCCTGGTGTAAGTATTTTAGTGACTTCTGTTAATTATAGTAAAGTGCATCAAAATTGTTTTAGAAGCATTAATGAATAGAATTTTATTAATCTTTGTCACTTCATTTTTTTCCCAGTAGGTATTGTCTCCCTAAAAATGAATATCTTATATTTCCATTAAGGAAACTTTTAAAGAAACTCAAAAAACTACATGAATTTTACATACAAATTAGAACTTTATATGTATAGGGTTTATTGCTAGCACAAAAATATGGCAGAACAAGGAACTCACTCTATAATATCATGAGACAGATAAATATGAAAAACTCAAAGGTGGAGTTTGCTTCAACCTGTAAATTTTGTTTGAGTGGATCTCAGGGAAGAGCTAGCTAACTTTGGATAATAGGAGAATAACTGTTGGCCACATGTTGCATTTTATGATAATAAGCTCCTTTTTTCCACCTAAGTTCCTTTGTGAGCTCAGTTTCCTTTTAATGGTTAATGATCTCATTGCATTTTATAGAAGACTTGCACAGACAAGTCAGTATGGCTTTGTATAAAATATTAAACTGATTCCAGGCAGGGAAATTAGTCTAAGTACTGTAGAATAGAAATTGGTCCTGTCAGAATTACAGCGACATGTTCCTCTGTGTTTAGCTTCTTGAAGCAGAAACGATGAGACACATCTTCATGAACAATTACCATCTGTGCAATGAAATTAGTGAGAGAGTCGTGCAACATTTTGTGCACTGCATTGAGACACATGGCCGCCACGTGGAGTACCTGAGGTTTTTGCAGACAATTGTAAAAGCAGATGGTAAATATGTGAAGAAATGCCAGGATATGGTAATGACAGAGGTATGTTCTCGATTTGCATTTTGTCAGATTCACATAAACAATATGCTCAAATATATATTTTCTGTTAACTTGGAGTGAAAAAAACCCCAACAGCATAGGTTTAGAAAATTATTTAATTTAATCATGACTACTTAAGCACAAGTATATTTTATTTTAATCTAATGAAGCAACATATTGGAAGTTGATTTTATGATTTTCTGTTTATTTTTCTTTTGGTCCAGACTGAATTTGTGTATTTAATGGGTAAAAATTCTATGAAATGTAACAGATTATTTGAAATAAAAATGACAAGATTTTATATTTTTAAGTTTTCAATAATATAGCAAAGATGGATTGAACTCTGCCTGTCCAGTGCCGTCATTGCTCTGTCTCTGAAATATTGAATGGGTGTTTTCTGCTGCTATTTGCAGAAGGCTTTGAAGAGAACCAAATTAATTAATAAAAACTGTTCATCAGTATTTATTGTAACACGGAAACTTGCTATTTAGAGTAAGTTAAAAATTTAAGAAAAACAGATGGATGAAGCACTTTATTTATTTTGCCCTTTTCATTTTGATGGTTGATATTGAGCAAAGTTTACATAGTAAGTTACTCACTAGGAACCAGCTGTGATGTATTGGAGAATTGGCAGTTCAGAGTCCACTTGGGTGAATCACTGCTCTGTAACCTAGTGGTTCTCTAGTAGCCCGGGTG